TCGGACTGCAGTGCCCATCATCCCTCTGCGCCACCGCCGCTGCGGATAACGGGCTTTGGAGCGCGTGAGGCTCGCCCGCCCCGGCTGAGCCCCGCCCTCTTCGGCCGGGGCTTTCAATTCGCCAGCCGTGGCATCCATCAAGGTGAGGGGGCGGGAAAGGAGGACGCTCCGTGCGCCCTTCGCCCCCTCCCCTCTGTCTCGTCGTTGATTGGGCGAGCCAGCTGGTGGGGCGCCCTCTTTTGTCGTCCCGGTTGCTGATTGGCCATCCGAGGTGAGGTCATGTCTGCGCCGAGCTCCGTTTCCTCAGAGCTTTCCTGAGGAGGAAGCGCGGCGGCGGATCGTGCTCCGCTTTCGGAAGAGGGGGAGCAAGCGAGCGAAGGGGAGGTGAGCGGGCCCGGCCTCTCGCTCCGTCCGCTCGGGGAGCGTCCCTCCCGTGCCGTCACCGAGGGGAGGCGAGGATCCCGAGAGCCGCGGTCGGGCTGGGTGGTCCGGAGCTGCCGCTGACACGCGGGGCTCCTTTCCGCCCCGGGAAGAAGGCCGAGGCCCTGAAGGCCCCTTGGCGGCGGCGCCCGACCCCCGAAGGGCTGCGGCGAAGGCCGGGGGGCGTCCGAGGGACTCGGCCCCCAGCCTCCTCCAGCTGCCTTGGTCGCACCTCCCGAGGAGCCGGAGCAGGGAACTAACCCGGTGTAGATTTTCCTCTCTTCCTCTTAATACGTGCATTGTTTACGTGCCTTCTGGTAGTTTTCGACTCCTAGCGAGCACGTAGGTAGATTATCTCCGTGACGATCTGTCACTCACCCAATGTGTCTCAACCTTGGCAACTTTGAGATGGCTGGACTTCAACTCCCAGAATTCCCAGAATTGAATGCTGACTAGGGAATTCTGGGAGTTGAAGTCCAGACATCTTAAAGTTGCCAAGGTTGAGAAACGCTGCTTTAACCGGTTCTTTCAAGTCTCCCGACGGTGCCCCCCTTGCCACTGCAACTGAGTCCATCCTCCTTGCTATTGGTCCTCCTCTTTCCTTCCCCCTTTCCCAGCATCAGAGCCTTCTTCAGAGAGCTGGGTCTTGGCATAATGTGTCCAAAGTGGGATAATTTGAGCCTGGCCATTTGTGCCTCGAGTGAGAATTCTGGTTTGATGTGTTCGATGACCCATCGGTTTGTTTTCTTGGCTGTCCATGGTCTTCTCAGGAGTCTTCTCCAACACCAAAGT